AGGGGAAAATATAAATTAGAAGTTAACTACAATATACTGGTTTTATATTGCATCAAAAGAGATTCAACTTGTGAGAGAGGATGGTCCACAACCGGCTTTTTTAAAGATGGTAAACAAAATGAACCACTTGGTGTTTTAGAACCAAGAGGCAGCTATATTACTCAGTTGACATTTCAGTTGAGTTCCAGATTTGCTGTCCAATAAACAAATCTTATAAACTATATAGGTCATTATTTAAAACTCAGAAATTTTTCGTCATCTAAGAATAAAATCTTGCACAAGAAGAGTAACAAAGGAGAAGAAAAAATGTTTTTGCTGTCTCCTCCATTATTAATCATACATAGATTTTGGAATTTTGAGAGACATTTGGGTATATTAAGTATAAAACATAAGCCCTTATACAGTTTGGGTGAAAGCCCTTTATTTCCAATTAAAAAAAACAAGCATCCACATTGAGATGTAACATAAATCGTAATGTGTGTCTGAACTGAAAAGTTGTACAATAAAGTTTGCAGTGAGTTTAGTGTATTTTTTTGTAAATTATACATCATGTTGATATAGAATCACCACTTTGTGGTGAAAAGGGAAATTAATACTTCTAATTAAAAAAAATTATGTAGTATCCACCATGCCTTCTTTGAGGTTCCTTATGTGGATGACATCATTATTCTGTAACAGCAGAAAGGCATAAAGGACTGCAGAAATGAGAAAACTCACTAGTTTATATGCTATAAACTACTTGAATTGATGCATAAATAACACCTTTTTCATGCAGTGAATAGACAGTTGGCTATGGAGGCATCTGCTACCTTTTAAGCAGCAAGTCTTGTCTCTCTCTTTCCAAGGCTATATAATCTATGACCACAAATGGCAATTGAAAGCCCACAGGTTAAATATTCTATCCCACTACCCCAATTATATAAATATGTTTTATATGTGAGGCCTTAATACCACTCAGTACTGCATCTGAAGAAGTAGGTTTATATCCACTTAAGCTCATGCAAAAAAATAAAAACCAGTTAGTCTTAAAGATGCTGCCACATTTCTCTCTCTCTTCCTTCCTCCTTTTTATGCTGCAAGAGACTAAAAAGGCTACTTCTTTGAAAACTACCCTAGGTTAAATATGCCTAAAGTTGTCACTGAATTTCATCAGGGATCTATCCTGCCTTCTGCAGGCACATAACCAAAACTTTGTAAGGATCCCTGTGACTTCAGATTAGCCTGAGCAAATGACTGACCAATGAACAGAGAAACAAGAGCCTGAATCAGGTAGAAGACTGATAAAAAATAGTCTCAGTGTGACCTTCAGATATGTAGGATCAATGAAGAGAAAAGAAATATATTAAGAGAAAGCAAAGTTAACAGGGTGGTCGAGCAACATTTGAAACCTTTTATATAACATTAATAAATTTTACTTTTTGAGACTATAACTCCCACAATCTACTTTCAGTGTATGGCCATTAGCCAAGGGCATTCTGGTAAATAACTTTTTCTTTCTTTTCCTACTTCTTTCCACCTTTATCAAGCATTATCAATCCCAATCATTCTGATGAGTCATATGTCTCATGACAGTCTAAAGTACAGTAGCCTCAGTTTAGTCATTGGCTTCCAGAGAGAGTTCCAGCTTGATTTGCTCTCAGACCCATTTATTTCTCTCTTTTTTTGTAGTCCATGGTATCCACAGAACTCTCCTCTAGTACCACATTTCAAATGAGGTGATTTTCTTCCAGTTATCTTGTTTTACTTTCCAGCTTTCATAATCATATGTGAAGTCTTAGGCTTTCATGGCCGGCATCCATAGTTTTTTGTGGTTTTTTCGGGCTGTGTGGCCATGTTCTAGAAGAGTTTCTTTCTGACGTTTTGCCAACATCTATGGCTGGCACCTTCAGAGAACGCATCTCTGGCATCTCTGAAGATGCCAGCCACAGATGCTGGTGAAACGTCAGAAAGAAACTCTTCTAGAACATGGCCACACAGCCCAAAAAAACCCACAAAAAACTATTTCATAATCATACATTAAAAGTAGAAATGCTATGCCAAGGACAGTCCTGAGGTTCCTTTGTAGTTGGCCTTCCAAGTCTTAGGCTGAATCTGCACTGCAGAAATAATCCAGGTTGACACCACAGAATCCTAAGATTTGTTTTGTGAGACATTTAGCCTTCTTTGTCAGAGAACTCTGGTGCCACAACAAACTACTACAGTTCCCAAAATTCCATACATTAAGCCATAGCAGATAAAGTCATGTCAAACTGGATTATTTCTGCAGTATGGATGTGGCCTGAGTCTTCTGATTTCTTGACCACGGTCTCCATTTTGATTTATGACTATTTCAATGACTAAATTTATTACTATTGCATCATCCATTTAAAAGTTATATAAATCATCTGTGGCCATTATTTTTGTTTTCTTAATGTTTAGCCATAACCTGCTTTTGTGCTTTCTTCCTTAATGTTCAGGTCATTTCAAGTCTTTGCTATTTTCTGCTAGTAAATTGTTTATGTTCCTTTCTCCATTTTTAAATGTCTCTTTCCTCCAGGCCTAATCCATGTTTTTGTATGATCAATTTGGTGTATAAATTGATAAAATGCAGCCTTGCCTGACCTCCTTGCTAATTCTGATTCTCCATATTCTGTCTTCATAGTGGCCTCTTGTCCTGAGTAGATTACATCAGGACAATCAAATCTTGTAGCATACTCATTTCTTCTAGACTAGAGAGATCCACAGGTTTGCATGATCCACACAATCAAAGCTTTGCTATAATCTATAATGTACAGGTTGACTTTTGTCTGAATTTTTTTTATATGCTACATTTCCCAATGTCTGTTTGAAAATAAAAATCTTTATAACTCTTCCTTTTCTGAACCCAGCTTGGACATACGGCATTTCTTGCTCTGTGTATAGTGAAAGTCTTTGCTGTAACATTTTGAGCATCACTTCCCTTGCATGGGATAGTAATGCAGTGGTCTGATGGTGACTACAATTCCCATTGTCCTCTTTCTTAGGGATTGGAATAAATATTGAGCCTTTCAAGCTGTGGGCCATTCTTTTGTTTCATATTTGTTGGCAGATTTGAAGCTGCATTCACACAGCAGAAATAATCCAGTTTACCGCTTTAACTGCCCTAGCTAAGTACTAGGGAATCCTGGGAACTGTAGTTTGTTGTGGCACCAGAGCTGTCTGACAGAAGGCTCAATCTCTTACAAACGTATAATTCCCAGAATTCCATAGCACTGAACCAGGGCAGTTAAAGTGGTGTCAGATTGGATTATTTCTGCTGTGTGGATGCAGCCTTAGTTAACACATGAATGGATTCTGTTTCTGTAGCATGAAACAAATCTATGCCATCTATACCTGGCGATTTATTTCTATGAAATGCTCCGAGTGCAGCTTCCACTTCACTTTCTAAAATTGTGGGTTCATCAACAAAAGGTTCTTCCTTGAATAAATCATCTTTTTGTCTCTCTCATATAGTTTTTCATTGTGTTGCTTCCATTTTTAAATATTTTTTCTCAAGTATTATAGTATTTTGGTCATATAACATCACCACTCATGGTTTAAATTTCCCTTCACTTTCTTGGATCCTGTGGATGAAGCCTCTTCTACTTTTTTACTGTCTACTGTTTCTTTGCATTGATTATTACAATTCTTCTCTTTGACCATATGCACAAGTAACAGTATTCAGGATTCTGAGCATTTATGTCACCTTTTACCTTCGTTATTCACATGTCCTTAACTGAAGAGTTTCATCTGCCATTCAGTGAGGCTTTTCTTTCTCTTTAGCTGCAGATGGTGTCTTTTTGCATTCTTCTCTGACAGTGTACCTGGCTTCATCCAAGAGTTCTTCTGGCTCCCAGTCAATTAGGCTTAATAGTTCAAATCTATTACTTACATTGTCTTCAAATTATACAGGGATGTTCTTCAGGTTGTATTTTGGCACAGTAATTGATTTAGGGTACTTCTATAGCTTTACAGCCATTTTTTCTATTAGTAATCCATGGTCTGTGCCAGAATTTATTATTTTAATTTATTTAATTTACTTTATTTATATGCCGCCATTCTCCCAGGATGGAACCAAGGCAGCTTCCTGAACAACAAAGTAAGAATGTTTATAGAAAAGTTTTAAAATCAATTTTAAATCCCCACACTTAAAAATTATACAAAAGTGAAAAAGAGATAAAATATAATTTCCCTGAACCATTAAAAGTTTGTGTCCTCACCAGACAGTTCTGCGATGGTGGTGTGACTGATAGAAAGCCTTCCCCTCATCATCTTAATTCTCTGACAGATTCATATGAGGAGATATGGTCTTTCAAATAGTCTGCTAAACAATCTACTCCTGGTCCTGTTTTTTCAGAAAGAATGGAACTTCTCCACCTTCATCTTTCCATCATGTAGTCTGTTTTTATTTCTATATTGGTCTTCAGGTGACATCCATGTATACAATTGTTTCTTTGGTTGCCAGAGGTGCTGCCTGAAGGCTATGATAACAGTGGTACGGCTGCTGGTAGGATCTCCTAAGTCAGACGGGCTATTGGGGTAGGCAACCTTTCCCCTTTAAGGGCCGAGGGACTTCAGCTCCCAGAAGCCTCAGCCATGTTGGCCAATAGTTCCATGTTGGCCAATAGCTCCTGGGATTCTGGGAGCTGAAGTCCCTCAGCCCTTAAAGGGGAGAGGTTACCTACCCCTGGTAAGGAGCCAGACTAGTGTGCCAAACAACTATTGGGTAGCATCAGTAGTGGGACATAACATGGGTGGAGGATTTCTCAGAGATAATGCCAATGTCACTTTAAGTAACTAAAGAAGGAAGCACCAGTAAACCACTTCTGAATGTCTTTTACCATTGTTGTTGTGGCTTCAAATCCTTTCTGACTTATAACAACCTTAAGGTAACCCAATCACATGGCTTTCTTGACATGGTTTGTTCAGAGGGGTTTTTGCCTTTGTCTTTCTGTGAGGCTGAGAGTCTGTGACTCGCCTAAGGTCACCCTGTGGATTTCCACCGCTGAGCAGGGATTTGAACCTTGGTCTCCAGAGTTATAGTCCAATGCTCAAACCACTATACTACTCTGGCTATCATCTTCTACCATTACATTACAATTACTATTACAAATGCATAAAAGTAATCCAGAAGGAAGCAGAAATATATATATATTCTCTGTAGTGTGAGGATTTCTGGGCAGCTTGCAATAAAATGAATCTGAACAGTTTACACCAATTTAAAACAGTAAAAATAATTTAGAGATTAAAACATTTTACAGTATGTAATATTTATGAC